GACGTCTTAACCCGACTACCTTGTAATGTAGCCTATACCCCAATAACTACAGTAGCTTGGCAATCCTAAGTGGTGCAACTTTTCCTCCATCCACCGTATGACAATGGTTTCATGTTTTTCGAAATTGAGAGGGCGGGGCTGGGGGTACCCAAGCTTGGATCCAGGCGGAGGAGCTTGCGGGCAGGGTATGGGCCAGCCTTGTTTGTCCTGAGCGCTGGAGAGTATGCACCTATGACTCTGCAGGTGGGGTTTGATGTCTCCAGCAGAACCTATTGGCCCGCAACTCCAGCCGACTTGCTCACCTAAACCATCACTGCTCGCTTGTGGCTGCGGCCACGTAAACTTTCGAAGCCGAAGGCGCCGTCTTGCTTGCCAAGGTGCTGCCTCTTTCTTGAAGTCCTTCAACTTCGCTTCAGGAATTTCACCTGAGCTGGCCTAGAACTTCATTCTACAAGCCACCTTCGCTTGTCGCCAGGGATTTGGGCTGCTGATGCGACAGCATGTCCGCCTTCCTAAGCTTTAGAAACTTTAGCACTTAGCCCCGCGTCTTCGGCAAAATCCGTTTCAGGGAAAGGTTGCCTGGGTACTTGGAGATGCAGGGCCCGAACAATTAGCCTGCTTACAACCTGAAATCAACAAAAATTAGGCAAGTCCTACGAGGACTGAAATTACACCATGCTTAGACTATGCAGTGTCCCGCCCCTCCAGCCACCAATGCAAGGCACCATGGATGAAACCATGGCTGGGCTGACCATGGACTTTTGCCTCTGTGCTGTGGCGACCACAAAGGATGCCCCCATCATCACAGGACAGCTGGCACCTGAGTGCTCATGGCATCAGAGGTCCCACGATGTCGCGAAACAGAGCGACAGATGAGTCCGAGTGCTACAGTTGTTGTGGGCACGAATAACCATCAGAATGACTTAGGAGCATGGCGAACCATAGGTGCAAGAACAGCCTTGCGACATTGCACACTGCAGTGTGGACAAGCAGAAAGACGGCACCATATGCCCTGATGCAGCACGCCGCACCCATGAGAAGCAATTCTGAAACAAAGATTGGCGTTGCCCTCCATCAATCAGGTCACCAGATACGAGCAACTGCAAGCGCCACACAGAACACACCCATGGATGCACAGAACCAAACAAGAAGTCAGCTAATAATTATTCCAAACTGCCCTAGGATGCCACACGGCTGTAAGATGAACTTCATAACTTACAAGGTTTCTCTGGGCTTAATACTAACACGCATCGATGATGTCCCTTCATCAGATACTGCAAACTTGCCGTTTTCCGAAGTTCGTGAAGGATGTCAAAATAGCCAGGCAGTGATTTAGATGCGCTCACAGGTTGTTGTAAAAATGAAGGCGGGAGCATCACCCGCTGAAACCTCCAGAAGCCCTGACGACCTACGAGGGATATTAAAAACCTTGCATGACCCCAAATACCTTATACCTCGGGAATCATGGTACTAAAGTAGAATAAGGTCATGCAGGATCTTCATTCTCCCAGTAGGACCTAAGAAATCCCTTCAGACTGCGATTCCTTACCGGTTGTTAGTTCTGAACAAGGTGTGATATAATCCCTAAACATATATATACACATGTAAAAAAACCATAGAATTCATGTACTCCTTTATTCCCTACTACCCCTAAACCCTAAACTCCAGATCCTACACCCTATTGTGCATATATATATATATATGTGCATATTCCCGTGTTCCCTACTAACCCCATATACACAATGTATATATATATATGATATACATGTCTTATTCCCTACTAACCCCAGTAAGTTTCAGGCCACGGCACTGTCCGCCTTGCCCGGCCGCCCATATTCGCGCAGTGCAGCGTGGACGGTCTGTTCGAGCAGTCCTCCGGTGCCAAACTTACCCATGTGAGTAGGGAATAAGGGAATATATGATATAGAGATTCTATAGGGATAGTGAAAAAGAAAGCGGAAACTATTTCTTGGGGTTTAGGTTTTAAGGGTTAGTAGGGAAATCCAGGAAGATACCGGGCTTATATACGGATACTGGAAAAGAAAATGGAAGCTACTACATTGCAACAGGGTATATACTAGGGTTCTAGTAGGGAATATAAGAATACATTATACAGGGATTATATTCCCATATTCCCTACTAAGTAAACAAACGCGCTTGCGAGGGATGCTGTGTCAGTGCAAGGCTAATGCTTAACCTCTTTGAAATCGCATTCGCAAAGCCAAGGGCAACTTGGCACGAATCTTAAACCTTGAAACATGCTCATGCCCTTCGGCCTCTGTGCTCGCCCATCTGGTTTTTTCTCCGCTACTCTTGCCTTCTCTTTTGCTTTGGCTTTTGCTTTGGGCTTGGATCGCGAAGGAGTACTCGTACTCGCTTTGTCTGCGTCCTGGCAGACTAGCTTGCCATCCTATCTTGTCAGTGCAGAATGCATCTGCCAAAATCAGACATTTCAAAGCTGCAATGCCTCTCATCCGGAACCCCGGGTCCTGGCTCTCTGCCCGGACCCCGCTGCGGCTCCGCTCCCGTGCTCGGCTTGGCGCAGGATCTCAGAAAGGCTTCGGGAAAAAGCCCACACAAGCGCACCGTCAACTTGGGAGAGCCTCCTCAAATCTAATGAATTCTAATTGCTGTCTGAGTGACCATCATTGTTTTGCTTGGCAGCTGCTGCCTCGTACTCCAGCAGCTTTGCCTCCGGGATTGTGCCTTTGCCAGAACTGGAGCGAAGGCTTTGGTCAGCAGGTATGTTATTCATGGCAGCTTTGAATATGATCCAACTGCTTTTCTGGGTGCCGTCGACTCTCCCATGGCTCAATCCTGTCTCCTCATCTTTCTCTGCATGGTACAGGCAGAGGCCCTGCGTTGCAGGCATCAGTGGGCACTGGCCACCCTGGCCACCGCTCCACACCTTCAGGCGCAATTTCTATAGCTCATGGCCATGACCACCCCCAAATATCAAGTGCACCACCTTCACCAAGGCTTTGAGTGTCGGGCCCTTGCCATGCAAAAAGCCGCGGAAACCTCCGGCGTGAATCGCCGCGACCGCTCTTCGATCGACATGGCAACAAATCTAACCAAGGCCACATAAGGCTGTTGCGCCAGAACTTCTGGGCTGGGTTAGACTGGAGGCATGCTTGCTGCGGTCCGAGCGCTTGCTTGCGATCCCGCTTGACTGTAGGCATCATTGTGGGCAAGCATAGGAGCCCTCATCAACCCCATGCTGCTTCACATTGCAGAACTGCTGCGGAAGCATCAGTAGCCTGCTGGGGACGGCTCAAGTCTGTCCATCACAATCAGTGTCGCAATCCATCACAAATTCGAAGCGGAAACAGGCGCTTTCTTCGCTCTTAGTGTAGCTGCCACAGCGTCTCCACCTCACGCAGCAGCTCCTGGAGAACAAGCAGAGCTACAACATCTGCAAAATGAGGTATAGGAGGCCTAAAGTGACTGTCCGGCAATGCTGACACCGCAGTGGCTATGGGTCCTCTAGCGCATTGTCGGGTTGAAGAAACCCCTTCTCTGCGAGCTCCTTTGCAATCACCTGCTCACAGCTATGTTAACTGACTTCTAGGCTGAAGAACACTGAAAGCTTCAGGTTGTGTGGTTGTCCAACAAGCATGCCCTTATCAAGCACGAATTGCCTGTTGATGCAGCACGCCTCCTGCTGCTCCAGGGGGATCTCCAAGAAGTGCTCCACCAAGTCTCCGTCCACAAAGCCCTCATGTGCAGCAGCCTCGCCCTGCACAGCGTTCAGAGTGCTTTCCCAGTATAACATATGCCCTTCCGCCCGAAGGTTGTTTGCTTGGTGTCCGCGTAGGGTTTTGCCCAGATTTTTTTTGCACTGTCTAGTCGCTCAAGTAGACCTCACTAACCTGCCAAACTTCATTGAGAACAAGGCCAGTCATGCCGCTAGCCTGATGTGCCATGAATGGACGTGGATAGAGGGACGAGGACTTCTCCATCAGCTAGCTGTTGCTGCTGCGCATCTGACCCTTTTTGCTGCATGTAGTCTCTCCTGTCAAGTAAAAACTAACGTCTGATTGCGTGTGTCATGAAGTGATCCCGCTCGGCAAGAATCACTCGCTCGAAGATATACTCTAGGCTCTCGGAACTTGAACTTCCGTCCAGAGATTCGCATCCTGCTGGACGTAGCCTCTGATGCGATCTCAGCGCGACTCCAACAGAAGTGGAGCCATCTTGCTTGCACGGTAGTTCTCACACATCTTCGTAAACTCCGGCCAGTCATGCTGTCTCCATCTGCCCGCGTGCTGGTCACTGCTCGCCAACTGCTCAAAGTAGTGCATGTGAAGCCTGATGCATCTGCACCTCCCATCAGCTGTATGCACCATCTGGAGGCCACTGAAATCCGCAGATGTGCTGGCAGACGCATAGCAAGCACCGTCATACACAGATCATGGTGACCTGGTGTGCCAGCATGCAGCCTCACCAGCCTCTGCTGGAAAGCTGCCCTCACTCTCCAGGACTTGCCGAAATCCTTGATAGCAGCTCCTTGCTTGGTAGTTTTTCTTCAGAACAGAGAGGCAAGTCATCTGAAACTCTCATCCGTGTTGTTGAGCCGACTTTTTGGCCGCAGCATTCCTGATTTTCTCTGGGCATCCTGCAAAAAAAACCCTCAGGTGACGATTTCAACTGTCAAGCACCGCTCCGCAGCTCAACAACAGCTTGTTTCTGTTGAGCTTGGACTCAGCATCCTTGAGTCTTCGTGAGATAGGGAAGCCATGGTTCAAGGGTCTAACGCAGTGGTTTTGCAAATGGGCTTCGCGCACGGAATCCATGAGAGACATTCATCATAGGCCCGGCGCATGAAGCTGGCCTGAAGTAGAGTCTAAACCCTGTAGCTTGATGGCTGCAGCCAAGGAATTACTGCGGTCACAAGTTACAGGAAATTGTCAGAATTTTGTCCCGTACATCTACTGACTGCCAGGGCCAGGACACCAGCAGTCATGTCATAACAAGCTCGGGACAAGCATTCGCAGCCTGCAGATCCAACCGCACATCACGCCACTCACTGTGAGGAAGGAGAGGCTGGATTTGCATTGCCATTGAGGCCTCCAGAATGTGTGACATCCGCTACATGCATTTGCTTCCATCCGCATCCAAAGCGGGAGATCTCGTTTCATGCAACTGCGCCAGCCTGCAGCATCAAAAGGCGAGTAAAGCTCTCTTCACTCGGCACAGGTACCACCAATCCAAATGCCCCTGAGACGCTGGCCTTGCATGGGATGAAGCCATCAGGCATGTTGCACGGTTGCAGCTGCGAGCTGATTGATTCTTCAAACAATTTTGGTCAAGGCACCCAGATGGTGCTCCCGGTGGTCTGCGGCTGAACCCTAAGCCCGAGGCTTCCTTTCCGGAAGCGGTTCCTTACTGCTCATGGCTCGTGGGCACAACGGAGGCTTTCATGGTCCGCTTCAATTGACCAAGTGACACGAACTCGCCCGTGTGAAGTTGGCCCATCTGAGCAGGCATCTTCTTCACAAGCCAGGAATATCAGCCAAAACAAAGCCCTGGCAATGAGTTGTCAATCAAGAGCTTCAGCTCTGTAGGACTCCTTCTTGGGTAGTTATCGTGATTGGTACAGCAAACGTCCGCGTGGGCAATCAGATGGCGGAAACATTCACCTAGACAGTCAGCAGTGCAGCACGGCCACGCGCTCCAGGATCTTCCTCAGCAGAGGAGCCACTTGCGAATGATAGAAGACTGCTGCGACAGTACATGCTGCGCAGGCTAGGCGGCCAGTCAGAATCTTCTTGCCAGGCATCACATCCACGGTCGAGTCCTCCGGTTGCGCTTTCGTCACTTCACCAGGGGTCAGGGACATCAGGTTGCCACAGTCATCGGCGCACCTGAGCACAATATGAACTAGGCGAAGTGTTGCACTGGCTCTTACTCTCTTCTGCTTTCATGCAACTGCTGCTGTCTTCATTAAACCCTCCATCTTGCTGTGCAGCAAGCACGAGATTTCGGCAAAGAAAAACCAATAACTTGCAAAAGCTCGCCAATAGGCAGAGTATTCATTGCTCCGGAAGTATAGCCGCATCCAAGCCACAGAAAATGCTTCTCTGAGAGCATGTCCACGGCCGTTGACCATGCGGAGACTTGATCATAAGCCACCACTTCAAATGACGGCTCCTGGTCAGCGCGATGAATCTGACATGAAGCACGATTGTCGAGATTGCTTCTATCCTGTGCTGATACCCGCAAGAATTCTGCGTGGGCCTGCTCATTGAATCGCAACAGGCTGACTGAACGCATGATGTCGCCCACCAAGATGTCGTTTCCTTCAGTAGCAACCCAATAATTAGCAAAGAGATGAAGAAATGCCCAAGCGTCCGGCTGCTGCTATCCTACCCCAAGAATGGATTGATGCGGACAGGGTGCCGTTTGCCTGCAGGTCCAGGACGATGAGACCAGCATTATGCCTGTGAACCTGGAAGCACGACCTACTCCGCGCAGCTGCACAAGCAAGCTAGCTCAACCGCGCCCTTCGGCTACAGCCGCTTCCAATAAATAATGCAGTTCACAGCCATGCTTGACGGAAGACTTCACGTGCAGAACTGCGGGGCATGACTCCTAAGCCAAGTACAACAGGCAGCGCCTCCTCTAAATGAGGCCCATCTCCTGACAGCTTCCAGAGCTGGAGCCTGTTGTTGACCTGAAGCAAACCAGTGGCACTCCGGATCAAGCCATCGAGCCTGACGTGTTAATACGGGATGGATAACCTCATGGAACCTCGTAGCTTCGCAGTTTCCCTGCAAGCTAGTAAGTCAGGAGGCTGCTCCCAGGAGCTTGCCCGCCAGTGGCAGCAGGGCGTAAACGGCGCCGGCCACCTCCAGGCATGCCACCTCCTTGAAGGGCGGTAGCACCTGGCCAAAACTCGGCATGGGTCTATGATCTATCTGTGGTAGAGGTGCTCAAGCGTAAATCCGCCGTATCGAATCACTATGAGCCGTGATAATGGTGAATAGTGCCTTGAGTTGATCCCTGTCTCAATTGATGCCTGAAGCCCTCTTCGAGCTACGGGACCAGATACTGCCCATGCAGTGTTCCGTGTTCGACTCTCAACAGCCGAGCACCCAACCTGCGCATCTTGTGCAGAGCCTCAGAGGACCAACAAAAAATGAACCATATGCACATGCCACTGCCATCCCCTGAGTCCTAATTCAACGACTCCTGAACATGAGCACTCTGGGTACAGCACCCGAGCTGGAAGAGGAGTTACAGCATGGAGCCAAGAGACGAACCTGCACTTTTGGAAGGAAAAGCAGAACAGGGAGACACTTTGCAGCTGTTCAGTCATCAGCGGCTGGATTCATCTCGCACCTGCCCTCTTGACGGCTCGTGCTCACGCTCAAGGACAAATGCTGTGCCAACCTCGGCAATTAGGCCCATGCCAAAGCCAGCACCCCGTGCTTCCACATGCTTCTGATTCGAGAGGAAAGCATATGTAGGCCACCGGCAACAAGAAGCTAGATGCGGGGGAAGAGAGAGAGAGAGAGAGAGATAGAGACACACACACACACGTGCACAGAGGGATGGATGGATAGATAGATAAAGACGGGAGATTTCAGGGAAAACATCCAAAAAAGAAGGAACTTCAGCTCATGGCTTAGCCGAAGACCATCCGTCCATGTTCTGGCCAAGTTCAGATGCGCAAAATCTCTTGAGGAGCTCACGCATTTGCGTATGCTCGTTCGAGCGCTTGCTAGATTAGAGCCCCCAGTGCAGCAAGCAACAAAATTCCAACTCTGACCAGACTTGCAGCATCTACTTGCAGGTCGGGACTGGTGCTGCAATCCAGAAAGACAGCTAAGCGCCGAGGCGTCGCTATGCAGGACTTACTCTCGTTGTCCCAGTCGCAATTGCCATTGCACCACGACTCACCATGCCCCTGTGGGCAGTCAGCACAGCTTGCCGCAAAGTGGTTACCACAAGATGTCGACAAGTTGCCAGGCTCCGAGCGCGGCTTGGGCTCACACTCAGACAGATTGAAATTCCAGACACAATCTCCGTTGCACCACTGCTGCCCGTTGCCTTGCGGACAGTCTTCGCAGGCGTCCGCCATGTGATTTCCACATGACACAACTGGCTTGGGAGGCTGACCTGTTGGCAGTTTCCCTGCCTCTTCCAATGAAACAGCTTCAGCCAAATGTGTGGGGCATGCTTTCAATTCGGTGACTGTCAGTTTGTCATAGTACTCGAGGCCCTTCTGCACATCACCTGCGAGCCCCAGCTCCCAACGGTCACCTGATGTGGTTATGCCTCCATCAATATGAGTGGTGTCCTCTGTAGCTGTTCGTGAATGTGTCCATCGTGCCTCTTGAATCTGCACCCATCCCTCCTGCAATCCGTCGCTTTCTCGAACAGCCGACGGGCCAAAGGATGCCCAGCGCTTTTCTTCGTTGTCAGCTGCTGTCCACTGCTCCACAAAAGAGTACATGCCTGAAATCCCCATGGGTCTGTCCGTACGGAGGCGCACCCTGATCTTTGACAGTATGCGCCAGCCGAACTCATCTGCATGAAACCTACAGGTGAATTCGGCGTGGTCTTTGCCGCTCGGGGCAGCCAGTATGAGGAACTTATACTTCTTATCAGTTTTCCAGGTGTTCCATTCCAAGTAGGACTTAGCACCGCTACCTTCGCCCCCAAAGCGTGTGCATATGGCACCAGGGCTGCATGAAATGAATGTTGCACGCTCCTCTATTGGGCACGCATTTTGATTATCACTGCTGCAGTTTGGCGGATCCCAAATCGAAAAGATTGCCCTTCCAGTGAATGGGTCCTCCGTTACCTGCTGTATACCTGCATAGCCGTAAGTGTGGCCCAGGACACCGAAGTAGGAGGTAGTACTACTTTCTTGGACTTCCACTTCATTATACCAAGCATCAAGCGGTCCAATCTGAGGCAAAGCGTACCACAAGTGCACTGATGCATGGCGCAAAGGCTTCGAGCTGTTTTCTTGGTGTGTTAAACGCCTTTCTTCTCGCCAGGATCGCAGGGAAGCCGTCAACCTTTCGTCTGGCTCTTGACCATGGCTCCTTAAGAGCATGCATACTAAAACTGCTCGCATCCCAGCAGCCGGATGCCCATTCGGGCATCGGCTGTCTTACAAAGAAGAGCTGGGATGGGGCAAACCCCAGAAAGGCTGCCTGCCAGCCCACTCGAGCCGAAACGTGAGAGGCGGCAAGCCGGCAAGCTGCATCATTAGCCAGTCTTATTCTGGGGGGCGCTGGGGCCACATCTCCACTCGCCCCTCCAACCACCCTGCCCAAACCAGAAAACTTACTGGACTCGTGTGACGCAGCAATCAACAACTATCCTGGACCTGCGCGTGACAACACTTTGGGCCCCGGGCAGCAATGTATTCAGTTGGATCACCATCAAACACCACTGACACCATGGAAGCCACTTGTTCCTGGCGCTTCTGCTGGTCCGTACCCGACAAAACCCTATCTGACATCATGAACCGCTCACCGTTCCACATCATCATCTCACGTCATGCTTAAACCATATGCGTGCTTATTATAGTTGGCCCGAACCTAAGCTCAGCCAGGACTCATCCTGACCCAAGCTCATGGTATCCAGGACTTTGGCAGTCTCGGAGTTGATGAAAAGGACAGAGGCGCGAGAACGCGCTGGCGCGGCAGAGCTCAACCTTACTCCATTGAAACACTTGCTCCGCACAACCTAGATGCCGGCTGAAACCTCAGAAAATATACTACTACAATACACTGTAATATACTGCATTATACTTTAATCTACTAGAAGAATAACGACGACCAAGGCAGGCACACCGGCATCGGCCAGCCAACACTATAGCAGCCAACGGCGCAAATCCCCGTGGATCGATGATAAGCGATCCTTCGTCGGACAGCTGAGCAGTACAAGGCCTCCATCTGCATTCGAGCGGCAGCCAGGGTGATGCGTAAGTTCCCTTCACCCGCCCGCAAGAAACTGATTAAAGCAGTTTATAGATCAAAACCCACCGGAGCATGAAGGCCTGTGCGGTGCCTGCGGCAAGTGGAGTGTTTCCACCTGCATGCGCCCACTTTGGAGCACTGCAAACACCAATCTCCTGGCCAGAGTGAGACAAGATGAGATCTTTACAAACGGGTTCCGCAGGCTGCAGGCTGCCAAGCAACTCTTGGCTGATGAATGCCATCGTGTGGGGAATGCCGCCAAAACCGCGCTTGAAGAATGCCTCATCCACATGATGCTCCTCTCCACAACAGTTTCCAGAACGCTTTTGCGGGCGAGGGGCAGCTTGCGAAATGCCGGGCAAGCAGATCTGCGAGTGGACAACGCGCAGAGGTTGCTGTGCCTTTGATATCTCATGCGCCCCAGGTGTTGTTGGAGTACGGAAGCAGTGCAACGTCTTTGCAGGCAGGACACTTGCAGGATGACACCATGACCGCTCATGGCCAACAGCATCTCCTGACTGAAAGTCTCTGCCTCTGCTCTTCCTGCGCCTATTGAAATATTCTTGTCGAATTTCAATGACACTGGCTCTCCAGAGGGGCAGCATTCCCCGGACACTGAGGCTGTCCTCATCTGGTTGAGCAGCCGCTTGCCCGCCTTGTCCCTCGGGCTGTGGTCCTGGCCATGTTGTGGACAGATCGATGTGCAGAAGCTGCGAAATGATGGAAAGAGCTGCGGCTGGACTTGCTAGCGTGCAGCTTCTGCAAGAGGGCGTAGAAAGCAAGCTCTCCAAAGTAGTGAGGCAAGCCGCCAAAGCATGATGAGGATGAGGAGGAGCTGCTTGCTGCAAAGCTCGGAAGCACCAGCAAATCCACTGGCAGCCATCCTACAGTTACCTTGGTTGCGGAGTGCCATGCATGCCCAGGCGAATCTTCACGAAGGAAGTCGCTGTTCCAGCCATAGGGTGCAAGCTAATGTGGCACCCGATTTAATGGAGGGGTTCGGATTAGTGAAAAAGCTTCGGGGAAATTATTCAGAAT